TTAAACGATACGGCTATATACTATAATTTCAGGCAGAATTTTTCCTTGGACAGCACCAGTTAGGATGAACCTGAAGCAAGTAATCAGCTACTGATTGCTGAATTTTATTGATTCATTTCCCAGCCTTTGAAGCTTGGTTCTGCTACTAAATTCCTACATAACTTTAAGCAAGCCACTTTCAACATCCTATTCTGCACATAAGAAAATAAGGTATAATCTAATATGTACCGCTAAAGCATCAAACATACACCCACACCAGCTTTAAATTACCAGAATAACCACAAGAGGTCAAAATTAAGCACTGGGCAGACAAGCAACCAGCTCCTCATTGGTCTTAAATGTGAACATGAGACTAGTAAACAAAACTGTGAGCATCCTGCAAGCCTAAAGCAATTGGATAAATTGCAGAATAGGATAGTAAAATAAATAAAATTCAGGCTCATCCCTTTCATTTTGCCATTATAAAACAACAAGTCATTTGATCTCTTCTACAAGATAAACTTCAAGATCGCAACAGACTCAGTGACTTCAGAAACTACTGCACTTAAAACAGACTCAGTTAGGGCATAAGGGTCCCTTATAGTAAACACCTGAGGTGATTTAACAAACCTGCTCCACAAATAATTGATTTCACACTCTTGTTTTCTTATACTAGTGAAGTATTAAAATGACAAAGATCCAAAAGGCAAAGGAAATATGATTCTATAAAAACAAGACCATCGGAATTTTTAAAAATCATGGAAACCATTTCCATTGGTTTTAGGTTTTGTAAAAGCATATTATTTTTAAACCCAAATGTTCCTCTGATAATTGTTCTCAACAACGCAGATGCATTTCTATTTAAAAAAAAAAAACAGTACTGCAAACTACACAACACATAAAAAAAAGGATTCTGTAAACAAGAATTTCCTTTCAAGACTGTAACTTGATGAAAATAACATTGACTGTCAACTTCAAAACAACTTTATTTGAAAAGAGACAGTAAAATCAAAAATGAAAATGATGAAAAACTACCAGGCAGTACATAATACCAGTAAGATAGTTCCCTTCATTATGCCACAAATGTGTGTTGCTAATTCATAAATAGATTCTGTAAAACTGTTCTTGGGCAAATGCTCATGTGTAGAGACCTTTTCAGCTTATTTTCAAGAGCAACTTTTCTCTTTGCTCACACAGCCCATCTCATTGGGTAAAAATACAGAGTTCCCTCACATTTACAAGATGGAGCTTTGCAGGAATCATGGCACATGCAAGAACATGTGCAAGAACCTTCCTCTGAGACGTCTGCAGTATTTCACTAGCTTAGTATTTCCCAAGCCCAGCAGGCTCCATATCTTAACTCCTTACGACATTAAGAGCCTAGTTTTGATAGAAGCTTATCTACTCTTTCCTTTTAAACATTTAACATAACTGTAGAGAAAATAAAGCTTGTCAGAGTGACACTGACAACAGCTGGGAGGCAAGCGAAGACTTACCGATAGAGTAGGGCGAATAGCCTTGAAAATTTGCACTGACATATCTTTCAGAAGATATCTTATCCTCATTCAGATAAATTTCTCCAATAAAGAATTAAAAAAAAATTCCTCAGCTAATCTTTAAGTCTGACAAAGAATCTTCCTATTTTATGTAGACAAATATACATTAATGGAATAAACAATCATAGGATCACAGAATGACACCTTTGTTCGATGCATAGAAACTTCCCTCTGAACCACCCTGCAGCAAAAATAACCTTTTCCTATTGTGGAGACCAGGCAAATTATTCAAAAAACAGAAAGAGTTTATGAGCTCATGGCGAAAAAAAAAATCCATACAGGAATTCAGGTACACAAAATTAACAGTTCCCTGATAAAACATAACCCTAATACCTAACACCATGGAAGGAAAGTCAGTCTCTATAGGACAAACAAACTCTCAAGAAATCACAGAACATCAGAGGATCTGCAGTCAGATGTCTCTGATACATAGTTCCTCACAGGTATATATAAATTTTTTATCCACAGAAACCTTCCAGTCTGTCTATAGTGCAGTGAATTGCACTGTGAATATTCAAAAGAGACCCTATCAGGTTCCAAATATAAAAATAAAATCAGAGGTAATAATCCCGCATCTGTACAGATTTTTTCTCCAGTTGCTTAACAGGACAGGAACACTAGCACTCATGCACTTAGAAGATCTCATTGTGTGATACATGATATACTTCTAGTCTTCTTCTAGATAAATGCAAATGTAGGCTTATAATGACTGCATCTTAAACAGCAAGTCATATAAAAGAGCACTTAAGCATCACTCTGAAGATAAAATTCAAATGAAAGGAATAGCCTACACAAAAAATTCAGCTAGCGCTGAGCATACTGTTATATATGGAATATAGCATACCACATGCACTTCCATAAGCAGCTGCCAGAGATAACTGCATTCTCAACAACAATAATTTTGGCAACATCTATAGATAGTAAGTGGATCCCAAAAAGAACGTGTAAATAATTTGGTCAATGGAAACAAAGTAGTAGGCAAGAATGGGAAAAGCTGTTGGGTTATGGTTGGGGAAGAAGGAAGAGAACGAGTAAGAGAAGAGCAGTATCATAAAATCATGGTTGTGAATGCTAGGAAGAGCACAGTGTCTTCAGACATAGGGAATAAGACAGTAAGAGGAATCTGGAGAGCCTGAAGAAATAAAAAGGTCACATCAGGTCACGCAAGCTAGAAGAAATCAACAGCACAAAATGCTTAATATAAATCTTAACAGCATGCTAGCAGCCAGTCATGAAACAGTCTGACATCTGATCCATCAGGATGGGGAAGACAAAGTGGTATTGGCTAGATGGCACGGAAAAATGAAAATGAGATCCAAGTTACCAGCAACTTAGTATTAGTAGCTTCTTTAAATACCTTACAGTGATATTGTTTAGAGCTTCAACTAAATCAGTAAATTTGGAGGATGTTAGCACTCATTCAAAACTCACAATTCCTTTTTAATTACTTTAACACTTTGATTCTATGCAAAATAAAGGGAAATAATACTAACAATTTCTGTTGGCAATTAGATTTTGCGATGCACCGTAAGTTTCATTCCAATATGAATTAAGTAATGTGTAATGTGTGTTTAAAAATATTTGCAAGACTTACAGGCTGCTAGAGAACTGGCAGATCCACTAACTTGTACATTAGTAGGAGCATCTCTGCTAGTACCATTTACCACAGTTGTTTTAAAGCCATTAAGATTCCATTTCCTCCATGTCCATTTATTTGGCTTCAGACCTGAGAAGTAAAATTGAAATTTAGAAATATGTTGATACTAATTTTCAAAAATCACCCTATGAATACTTCCAAAATAAATTAAAATTTATTTCTTTCTTGTCTCAGACATGCATATTGTGATACCCATGCACAAACTTAAGCTTAGGAGCAAAACTGTTTGAGTTAACATTAGTATTCACCTACTTAAAGTAAGCCAAAGGCTTCTTGGAGAATCTTTGATATAGATCTTCTGCTTGGTTTTGCACATGAATGAATACCTTTATCTTGCTGTTGTTCCAATACTGGCAATTTAATACATTTGCATGTTGTGTTGAGGTTGTGAAATATTCTGGCAGTGATATATAATTTACTTTACTCAGTGGTTTTCAATATTCATTCCAGTAGAATTTTGCACCACTCATATACTGTAAGTTTCATGCGGACATGGAATCCATGCCATAGCAGTGATACAAGAGTTTGGTGGGATTTTTTTGGGGGGGGGTCTATATTTCAGATAATTCAACCCATTATATATTTATAGTGGTCATATATTACAGACTAGACTGTGAGTTACCCAACTCTTCAAAGTGCAAGGCCTACTTGAAATCTGGTGCATATGACTTTGAAGTATGCGAACCTTCTCCAAATTAGATTTTTCAGTTAATTTTTTTCTGTATACAATTTTCTCTTTGTCTGTAACTAAAACAAAAATCCTGCTGAAGAAATAGTGACGGAAAGAGAGAAAGGTTTTAAGAAAATATTTTTGTATTTTGTACCTACTTCAAAAACATATTTCTATTGCATTTGTCAATCAGCCTTGACACAAAAGATAATGAATCCCACATTGTCATAAAATCTAAATAAATAAGCTGGAGATAGATAGAAATCTGCCCCAAATGTAAGTTTTGGAATGGTTATTGAATTACATATACAATCTATAAATCACAAACTGGTACTGTTAAACCATGCAGACACTTAATGGTAATAATACCATTTGCAGCAAAGGACTCTAAAACAGGTATAATCTAATAATATTTATATAACCTGTCCATTTTTTATATAGAAAAAAATTCAAGGCCACAATTATAAGGAGGAAGATCTAGTTTTTCACTTTAACCAATAAAATACAAATCCTCACTATGCTTATTATACTTCAAGGCACTTATAGGCTTAGGCCTTGAATTTTAAGGCTTCCATTCTGACTGCATTAATGAGCTTACCACTGATTCTTGTAGAATACTTCTATAGAGCATCTCAATGAAAGCAGCAAAAAACTCTGCATTCACAGCCTCACTTGGAAAAGATACATCCTATAGTATCATTATATCCTTGCTGAACAATTCTGCAGTAATTAGGCACTTAAACAGCTGAAAGCTACTCATTCTACAATAAGGCTTGCACTGGATTGCAGTCCATATAATCTTTAAAATAACAAATTCACATTTCAGTACCATCCAGAAAGTCAGCATCTACAAAGAGATTATCTGTTCACATTCATCAAACTGAGACATAGTAAGTTTCTAAAAATTGACCAACATTAGAGCTCTTATTATGTTCATAGTTGTAACACAGAATGAATAAAGGTTTTGGATTTTCACAATTAAATTTGTCCTTGAAGTTAAGAGGGACTTTTTGACTTAAATCCAGCTGACAAATAACATGGACATAACTTCAATCATCTTTCATAGGAACAGTTATGATCATGGTGACATAAATTACCAGGAACAAAAAATTATCAGTACCTGATATCCACTGAAAAATTAAATCTACTAATTCATCCTTAAAATCATCATCAAAACATTTAATGGATTCTGGGAATGCTTCACAGAAAGCCACATAAATGACTTGTGACAAACAATCAGGATATACCTGTCAAAATAACAACATCATATCTGACAAGGCTACAAACAGCTTTCGTACTGCAATTTTTTAAGTTAATGCAAAAATATTCAAGTAAAACATTGTTATCACAAATCTATTCTGTTAAAAAATAGTACAAGCTTTTATTATGAATTGATATAGCAATGCATTTCTCAATAATTTGTTTAACCATTGTATAAGTCAAAGCTCAGTTAAGACTAAATCGTAGAATACTGATCTAAAACTGTAGATTTGAACAAGTCACTTGAGGCTAAAGTTAGTTTGCAGAATAACGTATTCATTTAATATTTAACTAATAGTTTCAACTAATCTTGATAATAATCATGATATTTAACTAATCATTGCAAATACTAAGTAATTTTACTGTCATACTATTGTATAGTAAGTATATAGTTGTACCGAAATAGTACAGTTACCTGAAAAATGTATAGTTAACGGTAATGTATAGTTACCTGAAAAAAAGCATCTTTAGTATCCCTGGGAACAACAAGAAAAAGTGCCACAAAACTGTCTGCAATTCTGTCAAATAAATGGTCTTGTTCTTCTTGGTTGGGCTCCAAAGGGAAAAAAATAGGAATAAAGGTAAAAACACAAATTCATAAAGGGCTGTGTTCTTAAATACTGATGTATGACATCTAAGTATCCCGAGATGTGAGGCACTGAAAATACAAAGGAATACCACTAAAAAACAAATACTTAACCTGGCCTCTTTCTGCAATATTTTTTTTAAATATATTCATAGATGTTTTCTTTATTTTATTGCAGTAGTTCCTGATTCAGCACAGCATTATATGCATTATATGAAGCATATGTTAAGTCTACAATCCTACAATTAAGATGGTATCTAAGTGGTGTGTTGAACTGAAGCCAGTGCACCTAAGCACAATCTCCTACCATATGAACATTTTCCTTCTCTTCTTAATAAAGAACATGGTGGTCACCTGGGGTAACAGAATTTATACTGCTTTGATTTATGTTCTTAACCTAAATATTCCAAAATCCTATCTTACATAAACCCTACCATCATTACACAAAGTAAAATAAACAATTTTAGCATAAAGGTTTATTTTAAGCTTCATGGTATAAACCTACTAACTCAATTATCTTAAGTTCAATTACTGCTGTTTGAAGTTGTATGAAAAGGTAATTTTATGACTAGAGTTGAGTCCAGTCAGTAAAACATTTACAGATTTGCACTTGCAGAATCTACAACTTATTTCTTTGACTATAAAAGTTCTAAAATGCTTTAAATTCATTTATACCTTAAACTTTTGAAGAAACCACCACCAAAAAGAATCCTGAAACACTGCAATAGATGATTTTGAGAGAAATAAACTTCTCCAAACTTTAAGAACATCTTTCTGTTAAAACAACAATAAAAATATTCCTTATCCCAACTGCAAAGATTTAAAAGCCCTAGAACCACAACACAAACCAAAAAATGACAAAGACAAGATATTTCATTTCTTAACACAAGCCAAAAGAAAACAGAAACTTCTTTGAGCTTGGTGAGAATCTTCATTAGAATATATGCAGATTATAAACACCATCAGCCTTTTATCCAATGAAAGTAATAAGGTCCACAGCTGACATGTGAGCACAAATAAGCTAGATTTCATACCAAAAAATACAATGTTTTATATTTTGTAGGACTAGTGATTACTGATGTTTATTGATATTGCACTAACAATTTCAGCAAGCATACTTCTGATTACATTTAAACAGTTTCACTCAAAAAAGTTGCACTTATGCACATATGCTTTCATCAGTTCCTGCCAAAAACCACTCCTTAAACATAGAGTATACCAAGACTGCTCTAAAATCTGAATCTTGAGTCTCCTTCCAACCCTGCAAAATTTGGTTTTGCAAGCTTGATGTTATCTGGACTTGAACAAGTAACAAGAATTAACAGTTTCCATCATTTATAACTATCTGAAGCAGTCAAAATTCCATCAGAAAAAATAATATATGAACAACTGAATATGTAAATTATTCTTCAGTCTTATGTAGTAGTTAACTGTTGCCACATTAACTGTGAAATTCAGTCTGTGTAGCACTATATTTCATAAAACCTATTTAATCATAGGTTTTGTAAAAAGTCACAGAAATTATTTTATGCTAATTAACTGTAACAATTTAGCATGCAAAATAGATCAAAGATCAGGATTTCATAGTATCTGATGATATCAATAACTGACTAATGATAACTTTATATGAGTGCTAACTATGTTCGCGTACCTATTAGGAAAGTGTTCTTCTGTAATCTTATATGGGTGTGCATATATGAATATATATATAAAAAAAAACGTACTTTGAAATTCTGAGCTTTTATAACTAAATCCCAAAGTTTTGGAGCTTCCAAATGTCTTGGTAAATCTAAATGTTGGTTTACATTGAAACCGGGGTAATTATAGCTCTAAAAAGGAAAAGAAAATGTTAAGAAACTAAAGCTAATTATTACATTCTCTTTGTGTTATACAATTGCTCCACAGAGAAAATACTCTCTCAAACATATAACCATTCTTTTTCTAAAGTCAAATTTAAAGAAATATCAGGGATGTTCACATACTCATGGCCCCATTTTATAAAAATACTGCTTAGCAGCTGCTTTTCTTTAACACTCAGTAACATGCCAAAGTACAAAAAAATCAGCCACTGCAGTCTTTGCTAAAGTTTGCTTCCTGTGAGCTTCTGCTCTTTCAAAAATTTCTATCATAAAATGTGAGTAAACCCCAATTTTTTTTAAACACGGATTATTGTTTCTTTTAAACTTTATACTACTTTTTCAATATGAGATGACATTAACCATTTCTGAGAGATTTTGGCTATCTCTGCTCTGTTCGATTAGCATTGGACATGACCTCCCAATCACATACAAATTCTGACCGCCCACAAAATCTGTATAGTGACTTTCTACATTACATTGTCTGTAAGAGTCCACCAGAACAGCTCTGGTTTGAAATGAGCTGACTGGCTTTCCAGGCTGAAAATATGATATTCTAGACAGTTACTGACTTGCAGTCGACTTTTTCATACAAAGAGTATGTGTGCAAGGATATCAAGCTACTTGGTTCAAAATGTTGTTCCTCTACTTGAGCACAGTTACCCAAGCCTTTTACTTTCCTTGGTGAGGTACTTCCTGTAGTTATTCTGCTAATTATGTTTCCAGCAGATAACAGGAAGTGTCCAAACAGAAGTTAAGCAGCCCTCAGTCAGAAAAAACAGTTACACTCCTCTACTTCATATCTATTCACAAATAACACAAAACATGCTGTTACCTTTAACTAAAGACATGGCTGAGTTTGTATTTAAAAAGCATAGAAAACATACAAACCAAGCTTGGCTGAGAGTGTTCAAAGAACTACATAAATAATAGTACCACCTCTGTTATTTAGTTTCTGAACTACTGATACCTATATTACAGACCATAGCCTAGACCACCTTGGCAGGGACCTCACAAGGCCTCTAGTCCAAAATCCTGCTTTGGGTCAGATGTGGGTCTCTAGTCCAACATCTTGGTTGGACCTCTAGTGTTGGATGTTGGAGTAGAGACCCACATCTGACCCAAAGCAGGGTCATATCAGGTTCTCAAGGCTCTATCCAACCTGGCCTTGAAAACCTTCAAGTGTGTAGAGTTCACAAACTCTCTGGAAAACCTGTCCCATTTGCTGATGTGTCAGAGGCAAACATGCTTCAACACCTACATTCTGAAATTTTTGAGATCTCTCAGAAGAATTTAAATGGGTTTGTTTTTTTTTTTTTACATATCAATTTTTAAACTGAAATATAAAGGGGCTTTAATAAGGCCAGTGCCAAATGTGGTATAGTCTTATATTAAAAAAATAAAATCACTTAACATATGAGTTATTAATGGGACCCAATTTTGAAGGACTCGCATTAATATTTCATATAAAGAAACTGTTTATATTAAGCCCAACCAGTTTCAAAGAAATACCAAGATCCTGACATGCCAAGCCATCACAGAGACACATTTGTTCCTCCTTGAACTTCTCATCCAGAACGTGCTGGAAAGCCCAAAACACTAGGCCATGAAGATTCATGTGTCAACCGAAGCCATCATATTTATATTGTATTGGGAATTTCCCTTATGCAACAGATATAAATTTATATAATCTTAGAAAAAAAAAAGATAATGATTTTTGAATATCTGCGTATCAAGACTTTTCTTTCCCTTGGTTTGGTATCAAACATATTTGACTTCCCATTCACTGACAAAGTATGTTCATAAAACCAAATGCTGTGTACTTTTTTTTTTAGCAATAAAGCTCACCTCTACATTTCTACACTTCGACTCATCAACAGTGGACTGGGTAACCTGAAAATGTTTAAACATATAATTCAAAATTAATGCTACATATACCTCACACAAGGAGATTTACAATATTCAGCTAACGTGATTTAAATTATGAACTGAAAATATACTTCAGATTAGACAAAACAGTCTAAAATTGAGATGACAGCTGACATAATACGACAAATCACTCTTGGAGATATAAAGGAGAAAATACACTTTTGCAAGTTTTTCCCTCCTTCCCACCAACATCCAGAGATAGGTAAAAATCTCACTTCTGAATTTAAGGAAAAGGATTTGAAAATTTGGTCTTCCCTCTCTAACTTGAAAATAAGATTTAAAACAGGTAACATACCTCTGCTTTCCCCATCTCACTTTTCAGAACTCCTTCTGCACCAGTTTGCTCAGCTGCAATGGCTTTAAAAATAGCAATAGCTAGCTAGAAGTCTGGATTGATGATTTTATCAACTAAAAGCTCTAATCAGGCAATGACTTTTAACCTAGCTAGATCTACATCTAAATGTCTATGTGAACAAAACAATATACTGCATACAGTCTTACTGTATCACTGAAATGACTGGTAAGTGTACTAAATAAACAAGAAAACTCTTTTAGTTTTAATTAATAATACCAAGATCTGTGCAGAATGACTTATGCCTTTCTAGACTTTTGTCTGGACTTTGTTTACAAATTTACACGCAGGAAGCTGAGGTACAGAGAGCACTGACAGAGCACACACAAGAAGCCTGTCACCCCCATACCCCAGCCCATCATGTAGCAGTTCTATCCTTCTTAGATGTCTGAAAAAGAAGTTCTGATACTGGCATTTACTGTCTTACTAAAAACAATTATACACAGACCTCTGAATTCTTACATTGCTGATTTTACACTTTGAACCTGTCATCAATATTTACTCTTGAAGCACTACTTCCCTTAGCACAATCTAGAATCACTTCTCTTGAACAATGTCTTTAACACAGTACCTGACAGTTTTCTAATGTGCATGCTTCATCTTATATAAATTTCTAGAATTCAGTAAACTCAAGCTTTGTGCTCTAAATTTGGATATACAACCATAAATGTTTTTGCTACAATGCTAAGCCGTTCCCAAGAAGTGGAAAGAAATCACCAGTTATGCAGGCCTTAATTAAAGGGATAAAGTATTGTTTTCACTTTCTAACTATGGCTCCTATGAGAACAAAAACTAAAATGCCTGTTACTCTGTTCAAGTGGAATAAGATGTTCCTTTAGATATGCTGGTTCATGTTGTAAGGAAAATATTTTTCCAGCATGTTCCTGTAGTTCAGTGATGTATGCGTTTATTCTCTGCTCCAAATCCAAGAGAGGGCCGATGTTCAGTGGCACATTCTCATGCAGATATTTAGACACAGCATCGAACGAGTAGTCTTTCTGTAATTTATCCACCAAAGAATAAGGCTCATCCAGAAAGAGAAATTTAGGCCACTCCTTCTGCAATCAGTACATAGTAAAAAAATGTTATTTCTGGATATGATACAAATGGAAAGATTAAATTATGTAGTTTGTGAAACTCATTTTATATAAAGAATTGCAGAATTAGCATTTGACATACACCTTCAAAGAAGCTCTAAATTTTGCAACATTGTCAACACTCACTGTTTCCCTCCTATTCTCTTCAGTGGATTCAGAGATTATTATTATGACAACTTAAAAAGTAAGAAAAAAAGGAATAGGCCAAGGAGGCCTGTTAGAGCATATGCAGAGTAATTAAAAAGACTTTATCTTTTTCGGTTAGAAAAGAGGTTACTCAATAAAAAATAAAAAAATAAAAAAAATTTTAAAAAAAGTTATGTTTCTAAAGAGGAAAATAAAACCACATGCAATTTAAATCCTCGGAAAAAACAGTATGTATTCCATCTGTTGAGATGCACAGATGTCTTCAAAATACAGGAAAAAACTATGTTCCTCTATCTAGCTAAGCATTTAAACTAGCAGCTTAACTAGAGGAGAAAATTACGAATGCCAATCACAGACATTGGAAGTTAATAATCAAATTGGTTGCTTTCCTGAGATAACTTGGTTAAGGTTAATAGAGAACAATTTCAGTATAGTTGGAAGACAATGGCTTGTTCTACCTTAGAAGCAGGACAGCAAGACAAAGTATTTCAGAAAAAAAAAATAGAAAACTATTAAAACACATGATCATTTGGGGATAAAACAGTAAAATGTATTAATATTTTGTTTTGACTTTTTCTCAAAAGGCAAGTGGGACATTTAAGAAAGAATTTAAGATTCTATCCTAAAAATATATATTTTTATAATGCAATTTCTATCTGTCAACATTTTTTTCTTCGTTTCTCCTGTGAGAGAAAAAGGTCTGGTTCAATTAAAAAAAAAAAAAAAGTTTTTCTCATAGGTCTGTAATTAAATGGCCTTGAATGAATTAATACATTCCATAGGAATGTTCTGTTTCCTCCAATAAAATGCAATTTGAATGAATCACCTGTATTGACATTATATGAAATTCTGAAACAAAACACAAAGAATATTCAAAGATCTTCCCAACAGACTTACCAGCAGAATAAAATAAGGAAAGCTCATTTAAAAAGCAAATTTTACGCTCCTTTTACACTACTCAGAACATTTTGCCTCAGGGCTTAGGTCTTTGTATTATACTAATAATGCTGTGGACTGGTCAAATATTTTAAATAAGCTTGAGCCAGTGTCATTACTCAAGCACACCTCCAACAAGAAAAAATTGCTGCACAGCAGGCAAAAGACTTCCTCCATGGTTTACCTTTGAGAAAATTTAACAACAGACAGGCTGTTCTCTTGAAGGCCTGCCATTTCTAGAGAGCTCCTAGGTTCCAGTGCCTGAGGGTCTAGGAAATACAATCTGTGTTCAAACTCAGTTCTCAATATTTATATTCACATGGTTCTGCTCACAACCTCATTCCTGCCTATTCACTTCACCATATACATGGGTAGTTAAAATAATAAGCAGTAGGACTCACCAAATTTTGAGACCGTAAGAATTCTTCAAAGGAGAAAGGAGGCTTTTGCATTTTCTACTGACATACAAATAAGAATCGTTCTTGTCAGAAACCTTAAAAAAGCTAAAATATATATATATATTAACACATAATTAAGCTTTAGATGATTAATAGTGGCAGGCAAAGCAACTTCACATCATATAATGAAAATGTACATTGCCATTCCAAAGAACAGTTTTGTTAATATCACAGTTATCAATTGCAAATAGCTGTATAAAGTAAAATGTAAAGGACTAATTCAGATTTTGGGCCCAACTTTTAAATGCGGAGCTCTGTCATTCCCAAACGGTTTCTCTCTGGACCAAGCGTTCGAAAAAACATGCTAGGCTTAGTAGGCTAAGAAAAGCCTAGCATGATTGAGTTTGGCATGAAAGGATTCTATAACTATAGAACATTCTTCCTGGTGTCCAACTTGTTCCTTGTGTTACTTTAATGTAATTAATTACTGCACATCAAGACATATTGCCACAATAAGGAGGTAAAAAGTACAAATCATACGAACTACTGCAATGTAGCGTATACTGCTAAAGAGGAAAAGAGATCAGGTCAAAGCAAAGACAAATAACAACCGAATTCTGGCAAAAATCCTCTGCCATTCAATGCAATACCACTGAACTCAATGAGGTTTTAAGGGTGTAACTGAGATCAGAGTTTGGCATAAAATCTGCCTACAATGTTAACTTTGCCCCCTCAGGCTATTACAACTAACATAGCACAGACTTTATTTCATTTCACTGCGTCAAGAAAAATCTTCAGTATACCAAAATTATTGCTTTAGGTTAGCCATTTCAACCTAAAAATGCCATTGCTGAATGCTGGATGTTGGGTAAACAGGATCACAGGGCATCTCCCTTGACCAAACTGAGGAACTCCCCAGAAAACAAAAAAACCCAGGTCCCATTTAGCAGGAGAAGCAAAACAACAACAACAAAGGATACTACCAAAAATATATTAAAATTTTCCATTTCTTGGTGTCAACAGGAAGCATGTAGTTAACACTTGGCAAATCAATAAATAAATAAAACAAAACAAAACATACAGCTTATACAGTCTAAATGAGCTGACTTTTCTGGAGCTAACGTGGGACTGAAACAAAACCGCCACTCCCGTCACTGCGGCTGCTTCAAGGGCTGCTGCCTGACCCCGCTCCCCGAGGGAATCGCTTCAGGGCGATTACAGTTGACGGGGGAACCACCTCCGCGCAGGGGGACCGGCACGCGACAGCGGTGTCCGTCCGCCGCGCACGTAACTGGCACCCCCTCCCTTCGCCTTTTGGGCACCAAACGCGACAGGCCGTGAGGACACGGCGCCGCCGCGCGCGCCCGTTGGCGAGGCCCCGTAACAGCCTCCGCATCGAGGGG